TTTTTTTTTTTTTTTTTTTTTTTTTTTTTTTTTTTTTTTTGTGAAACAAACATTCAGAGGATGAGTTCTGGAGGACTTTTAAGTCATTTAGAAATAATTAAAATGACCAATATTATAACAATAAGTCTTACTAACTTTATTTTATTATTTTTATTTGAGTGCCTGATGTTGGTGTACGTCTTGTTGGTGGTAGCGTTTCACATGAAGGTCGAATTGAGGTTCGGTTTAATTCCATATGGGGTACTGTCTGTGATGATTCGTGGACCCTCAATAATGCAAATGTTATATGCAAAATGCTAGGCTACCAAAATGCCATAAGATCGCGGGCATTTGGATCAGGTTCTGGACAAATTTGGCTTGATGATGTATTCTGTAAAGGAGATGAAGACTCGATCAGTAAATGCCGACATAGAGGGTGGGGTGTTGACAACTGCGGTCACAGTGAAGATATTGGCGTTGTATGTCAGCCCAAAGGTAAAATTAAAACCAATCACTATTTCTATTTTATTCATTCTGCTTTTGTTTTTACTTGGTCGTCTAAAAGTTTATCAGACTAAAATCGTTAATTCTCAGTATAGATATCGATGAAATATCAGGATTAATCATATCCTTTTTGTAATCACTACTAAATCCTGCAATTGTGGATAATCCTACTCAGGGTTGCTGCGAGGGTTGTGAGTGCTTTCAGTGTGTGATTGGAAATATTTTGCTGACAGGTAGTGTTGTCTATTTACTCAAATGAGCTTGTACGCCATTCGAGCGCCAAACTTAATTAAAAAAAGTATTTGGTTTTGCAGGCTCACCTGATGTCAGTGTACGTTTGTCTGGGAATATCCCAAATGGTGGTCTTGTAGAGGTACGTTATTATGGTGTATGGAGATCCATCTGTGACACCAACTGGCGCCTACGAGATGCTACAGTCATATGCAAAATGAAAGGTTTCAGTCAAGGTGCTGTAGCGTTCGTCAAGGGATTGCAAAGTTCTGGTGATACTTGGTTGTTTGATTTGGGTTGCCGTGGACACGAATCTTCTATTGAGAGATGCAGCACGATAAACTGGAGACAGGGTAGCTGCGCAAACAATAAACGAGCTGGTGTTATCTGTAATAAAGGTAAGTGTAGTTTATACATTAGTTGACAAAATATCAAAGAGGTAGAAAACAAGTCCGTGTGCTATGTGTAAGGAATATGAAACACGAGCACATGTATCTGTATCTGTACTGTTTAAACATGCTGGGAGCAGTAGAGCACGAGAGAATCAACGGGTTAGGAACACGCGGCGTATATCTATACCTTGCACTGCTTTGTCAAATGATAAAACATCAACAGAATGATTATCTTACATCTTTTTTTCTCCTTTTTTTTTCTCTGTAGACTCACCAAATGTTGCATTTCGGATAACGTCGGGAATACACAGCTATGTCGGAAGACTAGAAGTTCGCTATTACGGCACCTGGGGAGCTGTATGTTCTAACACCATTGAAATAGAAGAAGCACATGTTGTGTGTAGAATCCTCGGTTATAGAGAAGCAATTACTATCTATAAACACGAACATACTGACAGCATGTCTATGTTTTCAATGACGATGAAATGTTCTGGCCGTGAAAATTCAGCCGAGGAATGTCAAAATGCTTTTCGTTCCCAGCAAGTTAAGACATGTGCTAAAGATGTCTGGATACTGTGCCGACCAACATCTGGTAAACATGATTATGCTAATTACATATATTATATTTTTTCCATCAGTCCATCCATCCATCCATCCATCCATCCATCCATCCATCCATCCATCCATCCATCCATCCATCCATCCATCCATCCATCCATCCATCCCCCTATCGAACCATCCCCCTTGTGCCATCACTAATTCCGCGCGTTGTCTATCCTCGGTTAATAAACGTCTCAAATATTTGTCATGGATTCACTTTCATTTATTAAAAGGTCGACTGGAATATAATTAATCCGGAGTACAAGATGCTCATACCATATAATAATGCAATAATGAAGTAAATCGAGGAAAATTAACAATTACACACAACCAATGTACCAACATTGGCGGCGTAGTTCTAATAGTAACATCTCGTATATACGTGTACTGAGCGTAATACAATACTGATCAATGCCAGTCATACATACCTATATCACGTGCAAATGTCAACAGTTACAGCCCTATTCATCTGTTACTAAATCTGTCTTCATTTGGGGATCATTTTTAAAATAAAAACAATTCTTTCCATCTAAAAAAAGGCTTGACATGGAAGTCCAACCTTCGTCTAGTAGGGGGATCATCACCAAAAGAGGGACGAGTGGAGATACAACAGTACGGAGTCTGGGGCACAGTTTGTAATTCTGGCTGGGACATACGTGATGCTAACATTTTGTGTCGTATGCTGAACTTCACGGGCGCTATTACTGCAAAACAAAGGTTTGGTAGCGGCACAGGTCCAATATGGCTGACAGTAGTGCGTTGTAATGGAAATGAGAAGGACATAATGGACTGCTCTAGCAGTGGATTGGGGAGGTCGGGCTCATGTACCCATAGTGACGATGCTGGAGTGGTTTGTCATTCATATCCGGGTTAGTTATCAAAGTTTTGGACAGAAATATATTCTATACTCTAAAATAGTAAACATGTACAGTGCAATTTAATGACTGATTTGGCGTTGCCTTCGGTAGCTGGTTACCATGGCAAGATCCTAAACATGTTAGAGCTGTGTTAGCTATGAGCTATTTAATGTATTATTGTTGTCTTGTAATTATGTAATTGTAAATGTATGAGTGTGTGGGGCGCGCCTCAATGGGACCCCGAGTGCGTTCGCCTGCCCCTCGTCACGCTTGTTTGCTTTTGTCTTTATTGTTGTTTTATTCCAAGCCTCTAAATAAAATAACATAAAATAACCAGAATCCAATCTGTATTTACTCATTATTCTGTACTCATAATTTCGTTTTGATGACTTTTTGTAGTTCAGAATCCTAACGTCGCTGTTCGTCTCATGGATGGACCCAATTCAAATGAAGGCAGAGTAGAAGTACAATATTATGGAGTCTGGGGCACAGTCTGTAATGATTTGTGGGGACTTGCAGATGCTCACGTGGTCTGTCGTATGTTGAAGTACAGCAAAGCATCGTTGGCGGGAACTGCTACCACGCAAGGGGGTGGTGTTATTTTATTGGATGATGTGAAGTGTCGAGGAAATGAGAAATCTCTGGCACAATGTCATAATTATGGATGGGGTCGCCATGATTGCAGCCATAGCGAAGATGCTTCGGTTAAATGCGACCACTTGTCAGAAGGTGAGTTTTAATATCCTTGTTCCTATTAAGCTTCTCATTTTCTGCTTTTAATTGCTGTGTACCTAATTGTTGTCGGGAGAATCAAGGTTAGTAAGAGTGGAAAAAATGGTGAGACAAATTTCTTCTACGTCATTTCATTCTTTACTTTTCATTTACATTTTTAAGTTTCTCTTTCTTTTTCGCTCCTTTAATTTACTTACATAATTCCTAAAATATGCTCGAACTATTTTATATTTAGAGGAAGCTTCAGTTACTGTTCGCCTGACAAAAGTGGAACAAAACCTTGTTGGTCTGGTAGAAGTTCATTTTAATGAAAGCTGGATACCAGTCTGTGATGATACCTGGGATATATTGGACGCTCGCGTGGTCTGTAGAATGCTTGGTTACAAAGCAGCTCTAGCACCAATACGACAGTATCGTCAAGGAGTAAATGGATTATGGATGGGTGGTGTGGAATGCAGTGGCGATGAAGTATCAATTAGCCACTGTTATCATCGCGGGTGGACGAACACTMGATGTCCTGGAAACTATTTTGCTGGTGTGATGTGTAAAGTGTCGGAAGGTTCGTAAATGTTAGAGTATTAGCTGTAATTGGCATAATTGAGCCTAAAATCAACCATAAATAAATGAAATAAATCAACACTTGACAATAATTCAATTTATAAATTCGTGGCCCTCTTTTAACGTCTCTAGTTAATTAGGGACGGGACCGCCATTAGCGTGGTCATCCAAGCCACGTGAATGTCTAAGATTTTGCAGAAGAAATGATATTGCAAAGGAGGCACCTTACGGCTGAGGCTTGAACCACGGCATCGAGCAAAACAGACTTCCTTATCAAAAGAGCTAACCGGGTGGCGGTTACCTCATCCTTTTTAATTTTTTTGCATGATCAACGCCACTTCACTACTATACAAAGATTACATACAAATAATATATTGAAATGGTACATAGCATAATTAAAGCTTTGATTTTTTTCATAACATTAAATATAATACACATTTATGCTTTCTTCTGTTAGCTTTGCTTTTTGGTTTCAAAATTTAATGCCACTTAACATGCAAACCTGATGCAAGCCCAATTATTTTTTTAAACAATTTTCTTCTTCTTTCTAATTTTGACTAAAGAAGAAATCCCATCTATACAAGTTCGTTTGGAAAACGGAAGTTCACCCAACTCAGGTCGTGTTGCTGTTCGCTATGGTAACGTATGGGGTACCATATGTAACAGGGGACTGGACATCAACGATGCTAAGGTGATTTGTCGTATGCTCGGCTACCCCGGGGCAAGTAAAGTGTATTTAAAGTCCACCTTCAGCCCTGGAAATGGTACTATCTGGTTGAGCAACCTGGAATGCAGTGGAAAAGAGAAGTCTTTTACTGACTGTCGTCATCCAGGATGGGGGAATACGACGGCATGCAGCCATAGAGACGATGCGGCTATATTGTGCAAAATAGGTATACGTTGTTTAGGGTATCGTTTTTCTTTCTAGCAGAGTCTCCCATAGACAAAATTAAGAAGACTGCGCCGGTGCACCGCTGTCTACAGACATGCACAAACCAAACAAGTTATTGGAATCCTAAATATCTTAACACGCAAGAGCGTATGGGAAAAACGCAAAGGCTTTCGGTTAAAACAAAAAAACATTAATGATTCTACAAAGAGCATCAAAGAGTGCTCATGATGGAAACTTAGATTCCTTCTCTTCCTTCATTATCTATTGGTTCTATTTATTACCACTTGCATTCATTGTAAATTTTTTTTCAGCTAGCGCTCCTGGATTCCAGATCAATGGAACTAGCGCCATCGCCGAATCAACGGTGGTGATCTTATTCAATAACTCACAACAGATTAACGCACAGATTAAGAGGTACCGGCAGCTTTTTTGATACCTGCTTTTAAATCTTAAGTTGAAAATACAACCGAATTTAAACCAGGCAATGAATGGGTCTTATTAAATCATATTCAAGATTTTGTTCTACTAAAAATCTCCAAAGGCAAAGTACTATTCATAATTCGTGGAAAATGAGGTGCTCTAATGTTTAGTGCAATTTATATAAATTTAGTACGTATTGTTTCACAGATTAAATGTTTGCATCTATGATATGACTTCGAAATAGCGCACAAGCTTTTATATCTATTTTATATTTACTATATATTACAATTCATACATCTTTCTCATTTGCAGTGTTTATCAGATAGCAGTAGAAAAAAGAGACAACGAAAAACGCTTAAAATCCAACGAAAAGACACCACCTTTTGTTTTCAAAGACGTCAATGCCACTATAGCCAGGGAAATGAGTAATAGATATAGCTACATTGCTGCGGAGATCCCGGGTCCCATTTCGAACTTGACGATTGGTAACGGTCAGTATTACCATGGTTACTACAACGCACCGTTAGAACCCGGATCGATGTATAGAGTACACGTAAGGGTCGTTACCATGGCAATGGATGGGGTAAGTTTTTAAGAACAAATACTTATTTTGGCATTAAAAATAGTTTTAAGCAATTTTAAAAATTGAAAGTTTTCCATATTTTTATTTATTCATGCTTCATTTATACTGCACCAACATGATAAAGGTTCAAGTTACTGGCGCGTTATGATCTTAGTGAAAAAAGTAGGGGCAAAATATTAATTTGTTTCGACTTGTTGGCAATAAATTTCCGTTTTGTAACGAAGGCATAATACTATAGATTGCAGGTATTAGTATCGTGATAAACTTAACATTGCCCTAATAGAATTTAAAACGTTGAAAAGCACTCTATCTGAAGTTCTATTATTTGGCAGCCAGGTAATTAATGACCAGCGTACTCATTAAATAGTGCCTTTAACGATGCTATTGGTTAAAGTTTTGCTCTTGGTTCTCCAAAGCCCATGAAGAAATCAAGATAAAAATTAAATGGCATTTTTTGTTTTTTTCGCAGAAAGCCGTACATGGTCACCATGACTTCGTTGCGTTTACAACAAAGCGGGTATCTACGAAAGGTAACAAAAGCATAATGGCTGTCAATATATATWTTTTTTTGCTGGAGCCCAAAATTGCCATCACTAAACAGCACCCAATTTAGTGGCATATTCTTAACTTATGATATTTTTCTTTTACAAGTTTTGGATTCTCAGCATCATTAAGGCATGGCTCTCAGATGAAAAACTGTTTAGCTATATCATAGCCAGTTTTCTACGAATCTTACCCAAACTTGGCAAGTTAATGTCTTTTGTGAAAAGAAGGAACCTTAAAGCATTGGTTGCCATGGAAACTAAGTCACGTGACAACCAGATCGCCATCTTGGATTTTTAAACAAGCCTTTTGAAGTCCTATTGAAACTACTTCAAAAGTCCTGAAAATCCATATTCCTTTTTATATTTACAATGCCTATATGGATGTAATTGGATATCTTGGAAAATATTTTAAGTTTAATTTTTAGAATATTTTCTATTTTTTCCAAAAAATTAAACTTAATATAATTTCCAAGATATCCAATTAGATCCATATAGGCTATGCAAATATAAAAG